CATAGGTTTCATATTCATACAAAACACTGTACACTCTGACCCCAAGCTTCTCTCCCTGTCTGTGTGTCTAATTGAGAGCAAGTTGGGGTTTGCGAAAAGAAATTTCTAATACAAGAAATTGAAAATGGCCAATAAAGTGATCTTACCTTATACATCATTCAAACGTAAGCTCCAGAACAGGACAGCTAGCAAAAGTAACAAAAAACAATGAAACCAAGCTGAAAATTCTCACAGGTATTATTAAGTTTGAATACTGACACCAAGATTAAAATGAAGATAACTATGTGGTTGCTAAAATATTTTGATAATATGCTTCCAGAAAAATCAAAAAGCTAATGGCCAGGTGATTTGACAATCTGAAACACTATTCTTATTGCCATTCTCCTCAGAAAGAGATGCATTTTTTATTTACAGTAGTTTCACATACCAATTTATTAAAGACAAAATTATTAAAGACAACATTAGCCCATTCCCATTTTAAAAAAGCATTGCATTTTATTAAGAATAAAAAGGAGAGGATGAAATGTCCTTTGCTAATCTTCAAAGAAGAATAGAAACAGCTTTGAGCATCAAGTTTACTGCAATCCCATAAGTGAGTGCTAGGCCAAAAAGACATTATACTGTTTAACTATAAAATAAATAAATAGTTGTATTTGTAAATGTCATTACATATATTGCAGTTATGGACTGTGGTAGAGACAAGATACATTATTGTACCTTCATATTCAGGATTATAACTGAAGACAGTTATTTCAATTTAAGAAAAATAACCTATATTATTAAAAATCTAATATAACCAATGATTAGGGTTTCTGAAGGAAAGAAATACCACTGGCAGCTAGAGAACTTGCAAAAGGAAATATTTACTAGCTAGATGAACAGACAATATCACCTTCAAGTTATACTGTAGATGAGGAATCCGTCAGACTCAGTTTTCTTCCTGATTAAAGCAAACACCAGCTTTAACTCAAACACCACTCAACTCATGTGTAGTTTATGCATAATTTGCTAGATTTTATAATAGTGAATAATATTCATAACTAGTGATTTTATGTTAAAAAGTAACTCGTAAAATGTTCATGAAGGCAATAATGTAACTAAGATATTCATTTAAATATTTAATGGTTTATATTGAGAACACACAGAGATATTATAGAACCAACGGCATTTGTGTTTCATTGAACAAGTATTACGTTGTCAGAGAGCCCTTCCGTTTGTCTAATTTAAATGAAGGCATTTTCTAATGAAGAGCATTTTAAAATTTTAAAATGTTTATTTAAAGCATTGGTGTGCTATTTAGGGAAACAATGGGTGGAGTCTTGGGGAAAAGAGAGAGAGAGAGGGACCTAAGATGAAATTCAAATATTTTGAACTGAACCCATGACCCTCACCCATCTCAAGGACAGACACGGTATTATCCACAACGTGAAGGTAAAAGCTAAAGAGGACACTTCAGGAAGATATTGACTTTAATTAGACTGGTCTCATTGAAGATAAATGCCACCTACCACCCTAACACCCCACCACCACCAAAAACATGATTTTTAGTTCCACTTCCTGTGAAAAAAAAAAGATTTGTTTAATATTTGAATGAGAAAGAATAATTGTAAGAAAAATATAATAATGGTTAAATTTGATAGTGTTTAGTATTTTGATGGTTTTGAAAGAAAATATTACAAAATGTGCAAATGGATGTCAGTTGAAAAATACCACATTCTTGTAGTACTTGCAGTATTTTATTTTTCTTTTTTATCAAAAGTAAATGTACAATTATTTAACCTGCAAGTCACGGAGTGAACATTTATACGGAGACAATCTGGTGAAATACAGGATTTAGTCATTTAACTTCAAAGCATCCCAATTAAAAAGGTACCTACACCGATTATACCTACTACCTACTATACCTGCAAATAGATTTTATCATGACCTAGGGTAGTTTATGTTTTTAACTGTGTACTGTCATTAGTGAAAATCTCTGATGTATGATGTGAAACTGTGCTGTTACTAACCTTTTTAAGTTTACATTTACTTGTACATTTAGCAGATGCTCAATCATTTTATAGCAGAAAAAATCTGTCATTTTTAAGATTCAATCAGACTCCCAAAGGGTATTTTAGTATTTATAACAGCTTCCCCAAATATACCTAATTGCCAGAAATTGACACTTGAGTAAAAGATAGGCAGGAAACATCTACACATGAAACATATATATATATTAAATACTTATGAATGGATCAGTGAAAATTGGAAGGACCTGATTTTAATTAAACATTCATTTATTTGAATTATGTGCCAGCTGTTGTACTTTTTTTCATTTGAATCTACAAATTTAAATTATGTTTATTAGATATTTGCTGGTGTTTCTAAATTAAGTGTTAAAAGCAAAGGTGTGCTTAAAATGTATTCTAATTACTTTCTAGCAGGTAATGTTGGAATTTTGAGTGACACAAAATAGCTATGGTGAATTTTGAGTTTTACCAGTAAATTATAGTTGTCCTTTGCTTATGTAGAGGAATGACTGTCTTTTTTTAAAAAAAAGTAAAATTCTACTTATAAATCATGTTCTGTCTGACTTTGCATATAAAAATAAGAATTTCACAATATCATCAATACTCCCTTGTTTTTGTTTCCTTTAAAAATTACTTTTATCTACAGAGAAAGCATATAGCTCTAAACCTGTCATTATATCAGATATACAGACACTTAAGCTTGCATTTTAGATAACCCAGTTAAGAACAAGAATATTTTCCTATACTTACGCATTTACGCTCACATTTGTAAAAAAAGAAATGTAGGATATGTATTAATTAATGAACGACCTTTCTCTGTTATCAATGCTGAGATTTGACTTCTTGTCTTTTATTTTACATTAAGACTGTCAGAGACCTCTGGCCTACAATTTTGTCCCCATAAATAAATACTGTCCACAGTACTTTTCCTTATTTTTTCTAAGAAAAAAAGTTTTCTAACTCAGTCATTTGCATAGCTTCATCTCCACCTTTTCCCATTCAACTCCCTTTTGCAAAGAAAAAAAGCATATCTATTCAAAAGGCATTTAGTCCATTTCTTTCTTGGCCGGTAAACCTATTCATCAATTGTTCTGCCTTGTAGATTGCATTCTAATGCTAATCTAGCGTGTTAAATATCTTTTTGTTCCCCTTTCACCGTTTTGTCATTCAGTTTATCCAGTTTTGGTCACCCATTTTATTTATTTATGCGCCTGCCTCTATTCATGCGCTCATGTATTTTTTATTATGTTGTTTCACTGTCATGCAGTGTCAACTCAGTCTATTCAATGGGGGCTACTTGAAGGGCTTGGAGAGACAAAGCATGTACACATTGCAGTGCTATTCACTCCGGCCAGCTGGATCGGTTGGAAAAAAAAAAAACCTTGTGAAAAGAAATCCTCCACAATGGACACAGAAGAAGTGCACAATGCTAACAGTTTTCCAAATACCACTGATTGCTTTCCTCACAATGAGGAGAAAGCCGCCGCTTTTTGCTGAGCTCCTCTTCAACAAACAACACTCTCACAAAAACCTCCCAGCCCACGTTTTGTTCCCAGACAAAACCTCCTCGACTGTCTAAACGCTCCCCACTGAAGAAAGAAAAAAAAAATCTTTTCAGTTTTCTTCCCTTTTTCTTTAAATAAAATATAATAAAAGGAGGAAGAAGAAAGAGAGAAATGGTCACTGAACTGGTAATATGCGCCCCATTATAAAGCAGCCCCATCTTTGATGAGTTTGATGAGCACTAAGAAACTTAAAGCCTTCAAACATATAATCACGGTAAACCAATAGTTATATAATGGGATGTTAAAAGTCTAAAAGTATGTCGTAGGCCGAGAGTTTTGGAAACAAAGTAGCGCACGTTGTAAATTGTATTATTTATAAACACCGGCAGACAATAGTAATATTACATGTGATGGCCTTCACTGGTAAATTCCCAATGAACCCAAGGTTTAAGTGTAATACCCATGCTGTAGAACGTTTCTGGGGTTTATAGCTTTGAGAGGAAACTCTGCAACTCCAAGTGGCCTACTTCCGAGAATACATAGTTCGAGTTTAAGTGGTAAAGGGAAATCTATAGGATATTGTTTTAAAACAATCAACAAACAGAAATAAAAATATATCCGACCTTTTAAATCCAATTTGACCTGTTTGAAACAAGGTCAGTCCTGATTTCACTTGAGCCTTACTTCCAGGGTGAAGCAGGAAGCTCCGTGGAGTGAGGAGATCGGAGTGTTACAAAGGAGAATGCAGGGCGCTGAAAGGGTTTAATTAACCGTGTCGGAGATAATTATCCCTGGACAGTCCAAATTAGTTTTGCATAATCGCTCCGATCCATATGAATTAACTTTTTAATATCATTTAACACTATGAAAACCAGAGATTTCTTAATTAATTTATGGATTATTTTTATTCATGCAGCGAGTCTAAATCGCTCCACTTAGGTGTTTACATTCCAGCAATTCTTAATTCTATTCGCATTTGATAGGCTGCAAATTAACTGATGATTGATTATTTTTTTATGAAATACATATATTCTATAAGCATGTGCTGGTTTAGTATAATTGATATTGCGTTATATTCTGGTTATGTGTTTTATATTGCGTGTCTGTCCACGTTGAAATATGTATTGATAACATCCTCGTTTTATAAATTATATCCCCGAAGAAGATATGTGGAGAAATTATGGCAAGCAGCTAATACACCATAATTAGAATTAACCTAACTCTAATAACGTATTACACAGATGTAGAAAGAATTGCAGTAACAAGATAAAGTGGGCAGTCAATTCAGATTCTGTTCAAAATGTTAGCAGAAATCAATGCAATACCTGTTCTCCTGCGCTCTATCGATGTAGTCAAAGAGTTCCATTTTACTGGTCCTTGAATGCTTAAAAAAGAATACAACGACTCAGTTTTTATCTTCCTTCCTATTCACGATTTAAAATGTGATAAATCAGGTTTTTGGCTCTTGGTAACAATGGGTTGATTTAGATTTCAGGGTAATTCTATTCAAAGCTTGAACAAAAGCGGCCTTTGGAGGATACCTTACACTTCACCTGGACTAAGCACGTAAGGGCAGTTCAGATAAAAATCTTGTTAGCAATTCAACAAGAACTACAGAGCGCTTTTTTCTATTTCTCCGCATTACGCTTTATTACACCCTTCGTTCAACAAATGAACAGAATAGCATTAAATTTCTAATTTACAGAAATGTAAGAGATGTTAAATAAAACACAAAACAAACCATCGACTTCAGAAGTGTTAGTAAAAACGAGAAAATATTTTCCCTTTTATATCACATAAACGCCAGTGAACTACATATACAATTAATAACTTTCATTTACACGCATCAGTCTAAATATACACATTTTAGAGTATTCTAAATTGCAGCTGATGAAGCCTTTGGGTTCAAATGCGTATCACTTTTAGTTGAAATTAAGTAGAGAAATAGTCATAATTTCTTTTAAAATAAAGATTTGTTAAACGTTACAACCTATAAGCACTTCATATGTTGTGTGCAAATGTTACAGGACACTTTTCAAGTCCTCTAATCAAATTGAGTCACTGTAATGTTTAACTAAACAATAAATATTACAGATAGCTATAAAATAATATTAGAAATCTGCAAATATTTTGGATTGCTAAACCAGCCAATTCGAACTTTTTGCAGTAATCTTTTAATCTACCTGTGTCTTCTACCGACCAGTTCCTTTCTCTGTACAAATTTACACGTTTTGTTCTATTTGGAAACACGGAAATAAACATGTCAACACTCTGGCTTGAGATGGTCTGAGTCACCTTGTTCGAAATCCATGTAATATTCAGTGTAAATGCACATATAAAGCATGTTGTTTATAAATAATTGGCTAGTCTCTCTCTAACACCAAACCTTGATTTCAGACTGTAAAATAAAACAATCATTTTCAGTCAACGTGAATTTTAAGTTTGCGCCTGTCACCGTCGGCTACTGTTTCTTGTGAGAGACATTTAGCAGGTGTATTTGCAACAGGTTGTAATCAAATAAGTTACCCCCTTGTTAAAATATTTGCATGTATGCAACAGCAATTACTTCCGATCCTGCCCTCTTCTGTCCAAAAATCAATATTGTAAATGCATATACAATAGTCCTTTACTTAAACCATCAATTGCTCATTCCCTCGGGGCTTTGACAAGTGGTGGCTGTATAACATGGTCTTCACTGTTCTCTAAATAAGAAGTACCTTTTATAAAGGCATTAATTTATTTACATACACATGTGATATTTGAGACGACGTGGACTGTTATCACATGTATAAATTTGTACATGCATTTCATAAACTCTCACTCATTGTCTTTACACATTTACACTTTTCTCTAGTTCAAGATGTCATAATGCAGCCGCATAAGCAGGATAAGGTTCAAGCTGCGGTTTGCCCATTCCTGGCAATAAGATGTAAGCTAGGGGCGGCTGCAGACCCGCCGAGGGCCAGCCGGTACAGTTGCAGGGAATCATGTAGCCAGGGTTGCCCGGAGAAGGGTGAGAGTGAGTGTGAGTGTGAGTCCCACTTCCGACAGCCCCTGTTCCGGAGAAAGCAGTTGTCCCACTAGGGTAGCCAAGTGGAGAGGCGTAAGGAAAGGAAGGTGGGGAGATTTCTGCCATTTTCGAACCCAAGTCGAAAAATGAGTATGGATTCGTTGACGCGGAGGGGTTGAAGAAAACTCTTGCAGCTGCTGCGGCAGCCGCCGCTGCTGCTTTATCCGGGTTTGCAATCAAGGACTCGGAAAGCGCTCCTCCAGATAAACCGCTCGCCTTTAACCCTTCATGATCTCCCAGGCTGTATGGAACTGGGAAGGCGAACTTGTCTTTCTTCATTAAAGTCTTTGGCTTCCGCCTGGGTCTGTATTTATAATCGGGGTGCTCCTTCATGTGCATAGCCCTCAGTCGCTTTGCCTCGTCAATAAAGGGTCTTTTTTCTGATTCGGTGAGAAGTTTCCACTCCGCTCCTAATCTTTTGCTTATTTCTGAGTTGTGCATTTTCGGATTCTCCTGAGCCATTTTCCTTCGCTGGGCTCTCGACCACACCATAAAAGCATTCATGGGGCGCTTTACATGATCCATGGGCTTAGACATTTCGATATAGAAGGCACTTTCACCTGATAAGATACAAAATCTTCCAACAGTCTTGTCGTTTTTCCCGTAGGTGGTTTTCTGCTCCCAGTATGGGACACACCAGTTCTCTACAACATATAAGGATGTGCTTTGGCACTTGACATTAATTTGATTTACTTCGAGAGACACGAGGGAATAGTTTGATTGACGTTTAAAAAATGCTTGTCAAATTAAGCATAATTTGCTGTGTTCACTTACTTTATTGTCAGTTCACCACGCAGCTGGAAATGTATCCCTTTTTGCAACCAAAGGCGCAGCCAACGCACCTTTCAAATGTACGAACAAAGTTTGTTCCGTCCACTTGGGATCGCTTCTTAAAAGTCCGCCGCTACATAAGACTCTTCAGGAAAAACAAATCCCGGAAAGAAATGAGTGGTAGTAGCTCGATGGATTCAAATGTTGTTTTCGTCTCCTTAAAGGCTGTTTTCTCGGTTTTTAACCTTTGCTTTCTCCTGTCGCCAGCCCTGTCAATAGATCAGCTCCTGTATCCAGCATTAACGAAAGTGGTTGATATCTCTAAGCTACCCCATGTGAAATAAGACTCACTTCAAAAGCAGGTACCGTGGGAGCTCTGAGAGCATGCGCAGTGCTTGCCACGCAAACTGACAATCACTCAGAATAAATCTTTATTCATTTCGGGGTAGGACGCATACAAGACAATACTTTCATGACATTTTCCGTAGAAACATTCAGCGCTCAACATTCTCGAAAGTTTCTTGATGGTGTTTTTGAAGACTTTTCAACGGCTTACAAAGTTGTATCAATAGCTCGTAATTCTTTTACTCTCGCCATTTATTCATAATTTTTAGCAGGAAAGGATGCAACAGCAATTAAAGTATATTTGATGTAAGTAGAAGTAGCACAGAAATAATAATAATAATATTAATAATACAGTACTTGATATTTTCAAGAGACTTCACAATTAAAAAGAGAATTAACTCCCCTTAACTATTGTTTTCAAACTGGAAGCCTATGTTGTGGTTACTAAGGGTTATCTGTCAACGTGATCGAACAACAGATAGCTGTTATCGAAAAACTATTATTTACAATGCCTACTCCAGTCAAGCACGTATTAGCGACGGGTAATAATAATTAGCTAGTCTATTGGACCCTATTAGTATTCTACACTTCAAACAATAGCCATTGTCAGAGTGCAGATTGTCGATCTAGGTGGCTCGAAATGCAAAGCTTTGATTTTCCTTTTAAAGATTTTAAATATACCAATGAACGAAAAGGCCAATATATTCTAAAATATTAAAGTTCTGAACTAATGTTATCATATTTACCGATAATGCATGTATCAAAGAACTGGCAAAAACGGTAAAATAATAAAACATATGAGGAATCTTGCTTCTTATTTAAATATGCTTAGTAAGTAGGTAGACCGCAATAAAAATGAAGGTATTCCATTATAGGAATAGAAAAGGATATGCCATTTTGTTAAATCAGTCTCTTAAAAAATGCCGCGCTCATAACAATGATTGAGAACAAATGAACTTAATAGATTAATCTGTCAATTGTATGGAAAGTTTTAAGATATGGACGTTACATAACTATCTTTAGTTACTTTTCTTTTGGTAAACGAGCTGTTATTATGTAAATACATTGTACTGTACAAGAGTTTGGTTGTGGTATACATTTTAAAACCGCATTTTTCTCATTCTCTAAATTCATAGGTTACACAAGTAGGGTTGTATGCGTCTTCATTTCAGAATTGACACTTATACGGAAGGGAGTGGGGGCGAACTACAGGTCGTAACCACGTATAGAATACAGGAAATCTTTATTTTACTAATTTGGCCATATAATGGTAAATAACCCTATCTTCTAAATTAGTTTAAAAACACACCTGAGTGATATCTTAATATCAGCCATGGACGATTTCAACAAAAAACCGACTTAGTACGCTTATCGCACTTTTGTCTATAGTCACGTCATAATTTTATTGTTTTCTTTATGCGTTAAAGCGCATCCATACAATAAACTTTATACTTGTCGTTTATTTCTTTGGGAAGCTAGCAAAAACGATTCTATTACCACTAACAGTTTTCGCGTTGCCAGGTTATACGCAAGGCGTATAGTATCTTTGATTTATACGTCGATTTTGTTGGCTGACACTTTTTATCATTTGTGTATGACTGCGTTTCTAAACTCATATACAGAACAAAAACAGTAGCCTATTGGAAATAAAAATACTGACACGTTATAAAATAAAAGCGTAAAATAACAAATACTATTTCTTCTTATATTATGATTCTGTTGTGATGTTACTATATCTCAAAGGTTAGCATTATTACACTTGAGCAATTCAGAGACATTTCTGTGTACCACAAGTGTGTTACAGTAGTTAATGTGAATTTGAAGTAAACATTATTTTTAAATCTGTTTTCCTTGCTCGACTTGCAGCCGAAAGACACAAGTAAAGGTCTATGCTTGGTACAAGTTTAAAACTAGACTGTGCTGTAAATCCGTTAAAAATGCGAAAACAAAATATATCTGTATGTTCCTCGTCTTGTTTTACGGAAAAACAAGACCATATTCACTGATTAACATCCAGAATATACGTATACGCAGCAATATAATGAACACAAAAACATATTTTTAAAATAGTTAAAATTATTATATTTAAACATGGCAGAAATCACATTCTCTTTCGTTTTAAATGAGTGATTCTAGCCTATAAACAGGTGTCTTAAAATGAATTAATAATTAAAAAAACTAGCGCTATTTTGGTAGATTAATAATTTTCTTCAATTTCGTTCCTCTCCCACTTCAACTTCAAAGCGTTTGCCCAGAGGCTGCAGGTCAGTATCTGACGCGCTTTATAACGAGTCGTGCATTTTACAAATCACACAAAGAAGAACAAACAGAAATTTAGGGGCTTCCCCCATAACTCTCACACCATAGCATAATATTTAAGTATAAAACAACCGTTTTGAGTTGCCGGATCTGTTAATTGTAACTATACTAGGCTATAAACATATCTTTTCATATATGTTATTTACTATTTTAATGCCAACCACTTTTTATGCCTTTTCTATGTAAATGTTCATAAATAAAATACCAAATAAAGACTCTTGCCCACCATCCAATTAAGTTCATTCATTAATTGAGAATGTTACATATGTGATTGAAGGATGGACGATACGATCGTGCAGATTTTGAAAAAGTAATATAATGAAGTAGAAAATAACAATTACACCGCCTAGAAGACTAATGAACAATATACAATTTATCCACTAATATATACTGAGCATACTTTTATTAATTGGACAAATAATCTCGGTCCAGCATGACTACAATACAATTAATTCCTCCCACAAACGTCTTATCTATACTTCATCAAAAGCTATTATGGCGTTAAAATTAACAATTATACCACCAATGGATGAAAGAATCCACAAGGGGATGCAGAAAAGGCTTCAGATAACACGATATGTATAAATCATTCATGAGAACAATTCATGTAAGAAAAGTTATCTGTGTTTTGAATGACATTGGAAGAACTAAATAGGAGTCGCTCTATAGATGGGACATTTCATTCCATTGTGCGCTATGTTTCCTCCTCTTTTATTTAGTGTAATATACATTTTCAAAATTAATTAACCCTAAAGAGCAAGATTAATGTCTGCTCATTGTTCGGGGAAAATAGTGCCCTCCGTGCTGAAAGACTCTTCTATTGTTTCAAGTAAGTAGCGTCCTAAGAATCCTCTTGATAAGGGGGTGCTGCTGTTCTGTACAATGGAACTGAGAGTGCTGACGGATAAGTCCGCGCTAACACACGTGAACACGGAATCTGCAGGTCTGTCTTTCAACAGGAGTGCGAATTGTAAACACCGAATATCCGAAACAATGTTACACGAAAAGGCCAAACATGATCAAAAAGTTCTTATCAAAACAGATTTTCTGTATAATACTTATGTAATCACTTTTTATTTACAGCTAGTTACTTTTCAGTTATACTGATGTAAATACAGTACACAAATAAGGGATCATGTATGCCATTCAATATGGTTTAATAGCTGACTGTAAACTGTATTCATATTCTTGTGTGTACAATGCATTTAATATACACAATGGACACGTACCATGTTCGTAGAAAATTCTGGTTTTATTCATTACTAAAATAGTTAAAAACTACTTGAAATGTAAAGTTGATTTCAGACAAAGAAAACTGTTTAGATCCTGGTATGGTGTAAATGGAATGCACGGATGAAGCAGAGCCATAACAGAATGACACAAGATATTTAAAGCAAATAAAAATAATAATCCATTCTAACTTGAAGATTGCCAAACTAAAGAGTCTGTCATTTTCACATTAATGAAAAAGGCAATTTTATGCATTTAATCACAGTTAACATCCTTATACAAGCACTGAAGATTTATTCTTTTGAACTATAACCATAGTATTAGGAAAGCAAATGTTCACAGTTTGTTGGCAGGCACTTGAATACATATCAAAGCCATACTGTGCACAGCATTATATAATATCTAATTACTTGTCCAGTTCATTATGATGCCCTCCTGAACCATGACCAATTTATACTGAGTCTGTACTTGAGGATCGGCTTACATACAGAATGTTTAACACCCACAAATGACAAATAAGTAGATGCTGGGTAAGCCCTTAATTTAATTAGTATTTCCTTACTTTAACAACCCTTCTATTTAATTCATCACCATATTAATATGCATTTTATTAGCTAGCAAGTTTAATTACACATTGCAAGAAAAAGATATTATTGTATTTAGTCATTCTCTGTACCTCCAATTAAAAGGAAAATCAAAGAACAGAGGAAAAAATAGGCTGAGACCCTTATTCAGCTAATCCTTACCAGCTCTTAAAAGAAACGTGTGTCTTACATAGTCTTAAACTGTATGTTTTCAAAGACTGAAATAAATACAAAACAGTGAATTATAGCAAAAAGGTTTTTCAGAAAGTGATATTTAAGAAGAATTCCTTCAATCGTTTCTTTACATTGTGATATAAGACATATATTAAGGGTTAGTGAAGGTGACAGTTTAGTTCTGATCCCTACATATTCTTAAGTACAGATGCAGGCAGAAATCAAACTAAATTTTTCTAAATGGCATGTTGGTTTTCTGATGAGGATTTATTCCTATGACAGCCAAGCAGAGCTCATCAAAACCTCAGATCCTTGTCTCTGCATATTTAGTAAGCTCCCTGTTCAGCAATTCCATTTAAACTGTTAAAATATGACGTCTTTGTGCCCCCATTATTTAATAATTTTAATTCCACCCAATTTAGACCATTATGTTCTTTCCACCTGTTCTCCTAGATGTTGGTGTTGGGAAAACAGAAAGCTCTCAGATTATTTGTCAGATTTAATTACCTGATGTTACGAAGTTATTGAGCCCTGTTAGACTGAGCTCAACCTGAGCGATCTCTACCATGCTTGCTCAGTAGAGGTTGCAGTGGTGTGATAAGGCGCATAAATGGCAGGCATTTTCTGTGCCTAAGCCCTGAGAGGACAGATGCTAATTGTACATTTCCTGCAGTTTTCATAGTGAAGACTCTTTTGATCCCCCTACTAG